GATCCGTTTTACTATCCATCGTGCAATGCCTAAAAATAAGCAATGCATTGGATCAATTGTAATAAATTTTATAGGATCAAAATATATTAAACGTAATAATTCAGACTATCTTACACCATTTTGTTTTACAAATCACTTTTGTGAAGCGTCTGAATTGCAATATCTCCATTCTAAAGCATTCTGGCGATGTTCAATTGGATCTCGCATAAAGAACCAATCATCGAAATTATCCATTTTGGCAAAATTATGCTGCCGATTTTCATAATTCACCTTCTTTTTACATTTATGATATGCCACTAATGCTGAAATATTATCACAAATTTTTCTTGCTGCACGAATCCTTTTAACATTTCTACATTCATTTGTTTGATTTATTGTTATTTCATCCCAAAGAGATTCCAATTCATCAATGATTGGTGCTAGATAGTGATTAATTTTATGTAAACTGATTTCGCTTGGCCTGGATAAAAGACTGAGAGTCAGTAAATTTTCACGTTTGAATCATATATCATGTGGCAAATTGCATATAGCAGCATATATTACTCCAATGCTTTAAACAGTACCATCATATGGCTGGAACCAGTCAAGATTCAGCATTAATCCAAGGTGAGAATCAGCCACTTCATCTTGAAAAAATTTTGGTAAATTGTCCTCAGAAGATTCTTTTAACGTCTACCATACTTGATCATCATATATGTCAGTTATAATGTTGATAAAATGCTGACGATTCGCCCAATATTTCAAATTAATTTCAAAATGAGGCTGACGATACATGAAAGCAAGTTGTTGTCGTATTTTACAAAAAGGAAAGATTAAATTAGGTCGAATTATTATTCGATTTGTCGATAAGGCAATTTTTTGAGATAATGGTATATTGCAAAAGCGTGATTTGCAAATTGATGAATTGGGAAATTCTACATATCGACATTTCATTATAGTTAACATATTATCTTATCTAAAATTTACCACTTCCTGTTTTTGGTACAGTTTATGACATTTGGAGCAAGAAATGAAATGTTGAAATCTGTCTTTTATTCCAAGCGCCTTCTTTGTTAAGAACATTGAATTTGGAAAGTCATTAAAATTGTTACCTCCGATTTCAGTCAAAACCAATTTCATAAATGTTTCAAAGCTTCAGTTGTAGACTCTGTAATGTTGAATCTTGTATGAAATGACATGATCCAAATTAATATTCACAAAAATCGGTCATCATCAATTGATTCTGTACTTGGTGGATCTCGAAATGGCTCATAATCCAGTGATGCATAATCCTCAAATGTTTCAAAATCACCATTATCATCAGATTCACCATCATCAGATTCACTTGTAACTTCATCT